GGCTTAATCCAAACAGGAATGAGAGCGCCTGTACTCTGCCGGGAGAGCCAGTTTGTACAGAGGCCCAACCTTGGTCGCTTCAGGATTGTCTTGTAGTTTACAACTGCTATCAGAAGCTGTGCCTTTCCTGGAAACATAAGGCTTGATGAGGCAATGGAGTAAGGTCTTGGCCTGATGGGAGGTACAATGTCAAAGAGGTAATCGAAGGGAATGTTCTTGTTTGCATGCGGGAAATCTGCCAAGACTTCCATGATGCTTCTCTTGGGTCTGTTGCAATAGTCAAAGAGGTCCTGCTGTCCCTCAGATGATGCAAACTCCTCAAACTTTTCCTTCTCTGCCTCATCAGTAGTGAAAAATGCTAGGAGCTCAAAGAAGAATCTCTTTGGAACAGACAATATATCAAGGTATTTGGTCACGCACTCCTTCATTGTGCATGGTCTTGGGAGAACTGAAAGGGGTGGGAGAGGAGTGTTAGGATCATTCTGCTCCAAAAAGAATTTCCTCTCCGGGTCAAATCCCAGCACATTAAGAAATTCTTCTACATGCTCTTCCATGTTTTGTGGCTGTACCATGAGGACATCCCCAGGCATGTGTCTTTTCTGTATATGACTGATGTCAAACTCAAGAAGTCTGACATCCTGAAAATGATCTGGGGCTGTCACTCTCTTGTTCACTGTCAAACTTGCCATGCACGGATTCACTTGCGATGCCTCCTTTTCTGGGCAATAAACATACCTCTCACACTGATCCTTATCAATACTATCTTCATCAACAAACCTAACTTTATATTTTGACATGGGCAAAATAGCTTTATCTATCGGCTTTAAGCCCTCAGGGAATGGGTAGAGTTCCGTCACATTAGCCCACCAACCTTTCAGCCAGGAATCAACCACAAAATCAGGCCCAAGATCATGCTGGTCATCCCCTAGTCCAATCTTCTGGAGGGGCTGCCCACCCAAATACAGGAGCAGGTTATTGAGCCTTTTAGCCGCATAGTTGAACTTCTGGTAGGAGGAGTCCCCCAAGCCAATCACCCCAAAGTTGAGGTGTGCGAGGAGCTGCCTGTTCTTCCTCCTGGCCCACAGAGACTTGAAAAACACCCGCATGTTGTCCGGGTCATCTCCCTGGCCCGTTGTTGAAGCTACAAATATCACAAGTTTGCTCCCAAAGAAGTCCTCTATGGGGTAGTCATCCATGGCAGCAACTGTCACCAGGAAGAAATATCGCTGAGCTTCCCGGCCGATCCTCTCTGCTACTTCCTGTGCCGTCCCTGTCTGACTCCCGTATAGGACTACCAATCTCCGATCCTCCAACCACTGGAAGAAAATGGCAATGAGCTTATCAAGGTCTGAATGCACTTGAAAAATACGGTAATCTAAAACTAGTAAAAGAGATTTTCATGAATCTTATATTCCAGGAAATTATAAATTTCCTGAATTTTCTTCTTTTCTGACCTTATTACATCTAGGCTAAGGAATTTTCTCTATAAAGATCAGAATCAGACATAAGTCATTGCCATTTTCTGTCATTGACTGAACATCCTTCTGTTCCATTTCAAATATAAATGTATAAATATTTTACTACAGGGAAATACACATAGTTACATTACAGTTTCTCTATTATCAATGGGCTTTATTAATTACATCTGTAATATTTCTGTAATATTTGTTATACAACTCATCCATCATGCAATACATAAGAGAAATATACAAGATATATGAATTATCCTCCTTGTTGTATTTATTCTCTTTCATTCATAAGCATCTTCAACAAAAGACAACCTTTCTTTGTAGATACTAACTCATTTTTACAAAATCTCATAAGCCTTTACAAAGCAGAAAGATGTAACATTAATTCCCTTTTAGTTATCATAAAAAAAAAGAAATCATCCATTTCATTCACAAACAGTTTACTACTTTCATGCTGTCTGTAATTACAACCCCTTTCTACACAAGCAATGGATTAATAAACTAATAAAGTGAAATAAAATATATGCTAAACTTTCAATCCACATAAACTTTGGAATATGAACCTTTTACTATCAAAACAATATTAGCTGAAGACAGAAATCATCTTGCAGTATAACTTAATATTAAGATACAATGAAAGTTCCTTTAAATCCAGCCAATAATTTCTAATAAATATTTCAATCATCAATCTCACCTTTTCTGCAATTTCTATTTCTAATTTCCTATTAAAAAAAAAATACATCTGCTATTTCCACTTTTTCTAGTAACCTTGAAACTGTTTACTCTCACTCTTCTGGCAAAAAGTGAATAAGAAAATTATGATGATGGCAACAGAGATGGCGATTGTAATGATGGGTATCCATGGTGGAGGTTTGCTGGTCTTTGCTAATGTATATTTATCAAAGTATTTAGCAGGATATATAGCCAAAGATATCATTATGCCATTTAGATTATGTTTGGCAAACTGAACTAGAAACCTATCAGTTGAAGCAAAACTCATTTAGCTTAGTGAGCAGTCTTACATTACAGGA